GGGGAGTCATAGAGTTCTCTCTAAACTAGCAGTTTCCTCTGCACCTAGGGAGAGCCCGCTGCAAAAAAGGCTCACTCAGATCCTCGGGTGTACATGACATCAAGATCGGGAACAAGCCAGCTGGCCACATCCAAATGCTCCTGTGTTCAGACGTTGTGCCCATGACAGCAGGTGAGCAGGGCTCTTTGTCATGATAGTGGGAAGCTGCGGCCAAGCAGGCTGGGGAGGAAGCTGCCTGGAACCCTGGGCCCTTGACACTTTCAACCTAAGGCCATCTGAGGCATCTTACATTCCAGCATCCAGTAACAAATGAGGCAGGGCAGACATTTCTGAAGCTTGTAAAGGCTTAGAACCATCAGAAAGAGTAAGCAGTCGAAAGTTATAAACTGTTTTAATTATCTTGTGGTTTGGTTTTATTTTTGGGGGTAACTTTATTTTGATATATTTTCAAACTTACAGATATATAGAATAAGAATCCTATGAGAGTAGTTCAAGAAGCTCCCATATATTCTGTAGCCATTCAGTAATTTACTTTTGCCCCCCATACTGTATCATTTTCTTTGCATACATACATATATAATATATATGTGTGTGTATATGTATATATTTTCAGTTGAGAAGGAGTTGAAGATATCATTCTTCTTTACTGCTAAATACTTCAGTATATATTTTTATTTGAGACATGGTCTCACTGTCTCACCCAGGCTGGAATACATTGGTGTCATAGCTCACTGCAACCTCAAACACCAGGGCTTAGGCGATTGTCCTGCTTCAGCCTCCTGAATAGCTGGGATTACAGGCATGTACCACCATGCCCAGCTAATTTTTTTTCTGTTTTGTAGAGATCGGGTCTCACTATATTGCCCAGGCTGGTTTTGAACTCCTGGCCTCAAGCAATCCTCCTGCCTCGGCCTCCCAAAGTGCTGGGATTACAGACCTGAGCCCGCACTCCCAGCCCTGTATTTCCTAGGAACAAGAATATTCCTTCACATAATCACAGGAAAACTATCAAAATTATGAAATTTAACTTTGATACACCACTTTAACCTTCCAGCCATATTCACATTTCATCACTTGTCCCAATATTGTCATTTATAGTGATTTTTAGTAATTTTTCTTCCCTGAAAAGGGTTTACTCATTGCATTGAGTTGGCAAGTCTCTTTAGTCTTCTTTAACTTGAAACAGTTTCTCAGTTTTTTTATCCTCTTTTTTGATCTTGACATCTTTGAAGAGAATAGACCAGTTAACATAGTGTTTAAGGTTGTTTCTCAGTTTGTGTTTGCCTGGTACTTCCTTGCGATTAGATTTGGCAGGGATACCACAGAAGCAGTGCTGTTACTGTACCATATGAGGAAGTACGTGATGGCAGTTCAGATGTTTGCCATGTTACCTTTGATCGCTCAGTGAAGGAGATATCCACTGGAAAGTTACTAAAGTTAAAGGCATAAATTAAAAGCTGAAATTTTTTTCTCCTCACTGACCCTAGCCCACTCCCAGATTGTGTTTCCTATTAAATATTCATAATGACCCTTTTTACCTATAATCTTTTTTGTTTTAATCTAGCTTTTTTATGTTAAGCAAAGTCATAATTGCACATAATTTTTAAAAAGTAATTTTATAATAAAACATGGCATTCCTCTGCTCCCTTCAACATCATTTTTCTGCCCTGCCAAAAGCAACCAACACTCATTTATTTTAACAAATATTTTGGCTTTTATTGCTATATCTCTGAAAAATATACTCATGTTACTACTACTCGTTTTTTGTTTTTTTTTTCAGTGTTTCTGGGAAACAGATCATGGAGATTCGCATGCAGGAAGTTTATTGGAGAGTGATCTCAGGAACAACTCTTTTAAGAGAATGAGAGAAGCATATTGGACAGAGAGAGTATTTTCAACTGTCTTGCAGTCACATAGAGACCTCAGCTGATCCCATGGGGAGTTGTGGAGCTTGGATGTCCTTTCAGAGTTGTCCTGAATTGAGACGAGGGGGGCCAGGCCTTTGTACCTCACGTGGACCAGTTGTGAATTCTGGCTGGTTCCCAGAGGTGGTGTAAACTTTGGTGAGGCAGCTCCCTTTGGCCAAGGGCATTTCCCAGGGTTGGTCTCATCCAGGGCTGGTCACATCCAACACTCCTGGGTGCTGAGGGTATGGTGGTCTTGGTCTTGCGGGGGATCTGAGTGGCTTTCCACAGCCTCTCCTGTGGCCTCCCGTCACACCACTCGGATCCACCTGCTTCATTTGATAGGTTCACTTCACCTGGGAACGACTCCTCCAGGGCTCCGGTAGTCTCTTTCCCTTGGGGACATTAGAGGAAATGAAAGGAGAGTTGGTGGGATGAACTACAGTTCCCATTGCTGCTGTTGGTCCCAGAACTACAACCAATGCTCATCATCTCCCTCCTCTACCACCTTTTCTAGATTCCTCTTAGCCTCACCTCAGCTGGCTCCTCTGTGGGTCCACATGGCTTACGTGGTAAAGCGTAGGAGTGACCTGTGCTTTTGTCCATGGAGATTTGAGCTCCTGGTTGTTATGCCCTTGTCAGGCCGCAGCTGCCCTGTCAGAATTGGGCAGGAGAGTACAAGAGATGTGCCCATGGGTGCCATGTGCCCTTGGTGCCAGGCCTGTTCTGACCATCCCTTTTGTGTGACGGCCAAGTGGCCTTCTCCTGATGGTCAGGGTCAACTGTCCTGCTGGGATGGTGGCTCCTTTCTTACTTGCTTGTCTCTTGGCGCAAGGAGCCTAATGTGCTCAGGCAGCAGTCGTAGTTTAAAGGCTAACGGGACTCTGGTCCCCACTGGTAAAAATGTACCTTGTGGAAGCCAGGACCTCTAGATGCACAGAGCCTTGAGTGCAGGGATGGAAAGAAGAGTAATGGTAAGCAGGGCCACCGCAATGTCCCTCCCTGGGTTCCTGGACTCCCAGGACACAGCACTCTGTAATGGTCATTGATTCAGGGTGTATGTTGTGCCCATCTCACAGGGTGTCATTTCTAAGCTGGTGCCTCAACTGTATATTAAGGCCTTTCCCTCTTTCTATTAGTTCTGAATGGTGTGGTGTATGATAGGAACAGTGGATCCCAAGTTCAAGTGCTGACTGCCACACCGCCTTTGCTGTAAAATGGGTCCTTGGTTTGATGGGATGTCATGCTGTATCTTAGTCCATTTGTGCTGGTATAATAAAATACTGGGGACCAGGTAATTTGTACAGAACAGAAACTTATTTTCTCACACTTCTGGAGGCTCGGAAGTCCAAGATCAAGGCACCAGCAGGTTTGGTCATTTGGTAAGGGCTGCTGTCTGCTTCCAAGATGACACCTTATTGTTGGATCCTCTGGAGGAGAGGAACAGTGTCCTCACATAACAGAAGGCAGAAGGGCAAAGGGCTAAAGGTTGTGTGAAGTCCATTTTGTAAGGGCCTTAATCCCATTCATGAGGAGAGGAACCCTCATGACCTAATCACCTCTTAAGGGCCCCACCTCTTAATACCTTCACATTGGCCATTAAGTTTCAACACCTGGATTTTGTAGGGGACACATTAAAGCCATTGCATGCAGTATACTGTGTCTTTTGATACCTCAAGCACTTGGATAGTGATGTCTGCTGAAGTCCAGTATACAATAAAAGCAAAATCATGTCCAGAATATTTGTCAATGCCTGTCAAGATGCATCACTGCTCCCTCCATGGTAGAAGGGGTCTTGTGTAAGCAACTTGCCACCAAGTGGATAGTTGATCTCAAAGGGTGGGAGCTCAGTGTTGGTGTCAGTTGCTAGTAGTCTGAGAATTTGGTAGTAGCAGTAGCTAGATCAAATAGCCTCGGTGAGCAGAGCCCATGCTGTTAGTCTTATGTATTGCCTCCATCCTGGTCATCATGGCTACTTTGTTCATGCACTCATCAGCCACTCACTGCAGTGGCCCAAGGGAGAAGCTGACTGATGTCACTTCCCCTAGTCTTTTTGTTTGTTTCTGTGATTGTTCAGCATCTCTTCTGTGGTGGGTATTTTCTAGTGGGCATTAACATCAAAGATCTTCAAACCTTGTGCCCACTCCCATAGTCTGACAACATGCTGCTTCTCCACACTTCCTGGTCCCTAGTTTTCCATCTGTTTTCTTCCAGGTTCCTCACCTACCATCCAAGCCATTGGTCACTGCCCTTGAACCTATATATTTTCCTGGGGCCATTTTTCTTTCTATACATAGTTGTCACCTAAAGCTCTGCCTTTTGAGAGGACTTGCCTTCATTGCTGTCATTCAGGCCCCCCTGTAGGGCAGTAGTGTAGTACCAGTCCATTTTCAGCTTGTCCCCACATACCAACTGAGCCTGCCCTTTGGCAAACCAAGCCTGTCCTTTTTTTTCCTATGTTAGCTAGCCATAAGGGACCTCCAAGTGACCATAGGTGTGAACTGAAGATGAGGTGTGGGTACAACAGTGGAGGATGACACAGGGAGTCTGACTTTACTTCAAGACGTTGTTGAACTTCCTGACCGCTTGTAGTGATTGCCTGAATGCCACCGATTCCATGCTGAGATCAGCAGGGCGCGACTTGTAGAGCCTTAATAAATGTAACAATCTCATGCCTTTTCTGGGGAACAAAATGAAGATAAGAATAAAGTAAGTAAATGGAAATTCTAACAGGGCCCGGGTTGGTGGTTCACGCCTGTCAATCCTGAGGATCTGGTAGGGCGAGGCGGGCGATTGCTCGAGGTCAAGAGTTTGAAGCCAGGCCTGAGCAGACCCCTGGTTCCTAGAAATATAGAAAGAAATTGACCCTACCAAAAATATATATCACAAAAGAAAGTAAACCGGCTATCCTCGGTGACTCATGCTGTCAGTCCCAGTGCTACTCGGAGCTGAGGCAGGAGGATTGCTGAGCCCAGAGATTGAGTTGCTGGAGCTAAGGCTGATGCCACGAGCAACCATCTAGCCTGCGGCAACAAACGTGAGACTCTGCTCTCAAAAACAAATAATAGAAGTAAACTAGCAGAACCAAACTCACGATGAACACTTCTGTCCACATGGTCACTTGATGCACAGTTAGTTTGCTATCTCTTGTGCAGAGCCAGTACCTTCCAGAATTGTTTTACAGGGTTGACTTGAGCAAAAATGCAATCGTATCAGCAAAAAGTTGTTACAAAGTACTAACATAGGTGCTAGAGTAGTGAGTCACTCATTTACAGTATATTCACTCTTCGTTAATATTGAGTACGATAATTTCCATATGCATTGCATATGATTTTATTAAGATAGATCTAAGCTGGCGGCGCGGTGACTCATACTGTGGATAGCACTCTGATGCAGGAGATCGTTAAGTCAGGAGTTCGAAACCAGCCTGAGCAAAAGAGACCCTCTAAAAATAGAACTTAATGGCACTAAAAGAAGTACATGAGAAAATTACCAGTGTGTGGACGATGCTGTAGTCCAGCAGACCTGGTCTAAAAAAAAATAGCAGGCTGAGTATACCATGTCTGACTCCAGCTACTTGGCAGGCTGAGGCACGCGAGATACTTGGAGCAGGAGTTGAGGTGTGTAGCGTAGCTGACGCACAGCCTCTAGCCCAGCGACACAGTGAAACGTTCACACACAACCAAAGAAAATAAGTTCACGTCTGCTGCCAGCAGAGCGAGTGTGTGGATTAATAGCTCAGTATACCTCAAGCTCCTGTGCCAGTGATCCTCTGCCTCAGCCTCCAAGTACTGAGTACAGACATGTACATCGTACACTGGCTATTTTTTTTAGACACAGGATCTTGCTATGTTGTCCAGTGGGTCTCGAGCTCCTAAGCCAAGGATTCGTCGCCACCTCGCCTCCCAGAGTGCTAGATACAGTGGAGCACCGCACACGCCAGCAACAAGACATCTTTTTTTTTTTTTGTGAGACAGAGTCTCACTTTATTGCCCAGCGCTAGAGTGAGTGCCGTGGCTCGAGTCTAGCTCACAGCACCTCAATCCTGGCTTAACGTCCTCCTGCCTCAGCCTCCAAGACTGGCAGCGTACAGGCATTCCACCATGCCCGCTAATTTTTTGTTACACATAAGTTAGGTTGGCCAATTAATCTGTTCTATTCTATAGTAGAGACGGTCTCGTCTGGTCAGTGTTTGCGACTCCTGACCTCGAGCATCACCCGCTCGGCCTCCAGAGAGCTAGGATTACAGCGTGAGCACCGACCGGCCTTTTTTTTTTTTTAGATAGTCAAGTGCAGTAGTGAGAGGCGAAAGTAGGTAGAACAAGAGTTCAATCTTAACTGACTGGAAACAATCACTTATCTACTCAGGACCAGCCAACAGGGACATTTTTAACATTCCATGACATAGTAATCAAAATCAGAAAATGAGCACTGATATAATACTATTGTCTGATTTACAGTGCGCATTCAGGTTTCCTCTTCTGAGACCATGTCCTCCTTCAGGGGTGCTCGGGGTTGGAACTCGTCCTGAACTTACGCCCTACTTCATGCCCATGCTGGCCTGTGTGCCCACTCTTGCCCCACCTCCTCACTGGACACATGCCCCTCGCTCTTGCCGTGGAGCCCGCTGCCCCTCTCTCTCCTGCTCACCTAGTGCGGAGCTCTGCCTGCTGGAGACTGGCACACCTGACTACCTGGTCCCCTCCGAGTTGAGGAGCTCAGGCCTTGAGGGCGCCTTGAGCAGTGGCCAGCCGTCCTCGCAGGTGCCCAGGTAATTCTCATCCACAGAGTGAAGAGAGAACACGCTCTTCCCTCGGTCCTCAGCCCTCCAGCGGGGCTAACACTGTCACTCTCAGCTGACACTCTCGCTTCCAATTCAGGGAAACAATCCCAAGAGAACTGTTGTGTCTTCCCGCCACCAGATCTACTCCTCGCCTGTGTCCTTCTCACCCTCTGATCCGCCTGCCTTCTGTGACAGTGGCAGCCCCTCTGCCGGCTCCCTCCACTCAGGCACTGCTCCCATTTCCTCCCTCTCTTGCAGCCTCTGTCCCCTGCATTGTCGCTGATATGCAGCGACATATTGTCACTGCCATCAGCGCACAGGCTGCTGCAGAGTCACCAGCCCTTGACTGGTGTTCCCCTCCCGCTGCCACTGTAGTTCCTTGGTCTCTTACTAATAAGACTTTTTGGAAGAGTTGGGGAGACTCATTGCTCTGTTTTTCCTCAGCCCCCTCCAGGGAGACTTTCCTCCCTTCCCCACCGTTCTCTGGTCAGAGGCGCCAGCAGTCAGCTCGTCTCAGCCCTGCGGAGCTGGCTCCTGGGGCTCCCTCGCCCTCCCCCTGTGCCTCCGCCCAGCCCGTGGCTGCTCCTCCGCTCCGCTCCGCTCTGCGTTGCTGGAGGGACCAGTGCTCACTGTGGCCTTTCTGCTCCACCTAGATTCACTCTTTGCTTTAATGGTCCTCACCCCTTTAGCCCAGCCCCTACCTCTTGTAGCTAATGCTTCTCTGTGCTGAAATGAAAGTCATAGCTAATATATCCTTCCAGTGGCTGCCTAATTAAAAACATAGTATTATGTTGTAATTGTAATATAAAGGAAAATTAAAGGAAAGGAATTTATAATAGCCTAATATGCATTTCAGTACTAGAAATGTTTGGACACGCTACATAACTGTTGAAACGTGAGCACTTCTGCCTAGAGCAGCGGTTAGCAGTGTGGCCCGACACAGGTGTCGCGTGCGGGCAGAGTCACAGGAACGTGATTTTTTGAAATAGGGAAAATCACTTGGGAAAATTCTGAACAAAAAGAAATCAAATAGTCCCTTAGTTTATATGACAGGTCTATATCTGGAAAAAATTAGTGCAAAAATTTAACTTTTGCCTGGGAGTGGTGGCTCATGCCTGTAATCCCAGTATTGTGGGAGGCCGAAGCAGGAGTATCAGTTGGGGCTAGGAGTGCAAGACCAGCCTGGGCAACATAGTGAGACCCCATCTCTATAAAAAATTTAAAAATGAGCTGGGCGTGGTGGTGTGTACCTGTAGTCTCAGCTACTCAGGAGGCTGAGACAGGAGGATAGCTTGAGCTCAAGAGTTCCAGGTTACAGTGAGCTATGATGATGCCATTGCACTTCAGCCTGGGCGACAGAATGAAATCCAGTCCCTAAAAACCCAAACTAACAAATATATAATTCTTTGGATTTATATGGAAAGTGGATGGAGGTTTTAGGTTCAGATCATTATAAACAGATCTACATGGATATTTGTCAGTGCTGTTGAAAATCCAAGAGGATTTAGAATAATT